GGAAATTTGGACACAGACAGGTGTGGAGGGAAGATGATGTGAAGACCTGGGAGAGAACGGCCACCTATAGGCCAAGGAGAGAGGCTTCAAACAGATCCTTCCCTTGTGGCTCCCAGTAAGAGGGCCTTGACTCTGAACCTATAGACTCCAGAACCATGAGATGATAAATTTCTGTTGTTTAAGCCTCCCAATCTGTGGCACTTTGTCACAGCCCTAGCAAACTAATATGGGTGACTTGCCTTTTATTGTGCAGCAATGAAGAACAAAATCAGAATCAAAACCCAGTTTTCCAGACTCCAATACCCATGGGACTTTCTGCACTGCCTTGCAACTCACTCTCTGTTTTCACTCAAAGTTCTCTCCCACAAAAATATGATACTTGCTCAACTTCTTAAAAACTATGCTAAATATATACTATTTAAACTGAATGTTTGTGAGCTATACTCCCACACTGCCAATGAGACATTGTCAAATAGATGTCTCATGAACTCAAAATGACTGAAGCCCAAATCAACTGCCCCTCAAAGCTAGCATGACACTGTTTTGATCTAAGAACATCAAGGTACAAAATGCAACCCCTTGGACAAGACATCCAACTCTCTGAGCCTCCATTCCATATTTATAATACAACTTCTATAAATAATATAAATTCTATTAAAAAGAAAACCTTCAAAGGACTAAGGTGAAGATCACATTGGAGAACAGCCCTTTAAAACTGTGAAGTGTTCAGAGCAATTCTCCAGCAGTCGCAGCCTATTTCTCCCTTTAGCATCATCTTTTTTACTCATTCAAAACCATTGATATTTCCCTCTCAAATCATTTATAACCAATAATTCATCTAGCTCTGACAATTTTTTCCCCACTTGTCATTTTTTTGTCACTGCCTTCTGATCCACTTGGTCCTCATAATTTCAAATCTATACTACTCTAAATGACTGATTTATCAGCTTTCAAGCTCCTTCTTATCTAATCTATATCATATCCCAATACCAGCTTTATCTTTCTAATATACTTAGTTCAAAAGCCTTCAGAGGCTCTCCGACCCACAAAAAAAAAGGTCCCAGCTATAGAGCCATCCTTGCATTCTATAGCAGAACTGAATCCCAGAGCCAGTTCCTAAGCTTATCTCAAAACTTACATGTGCCCAAGGGCCTTGCCTTATATCCAGCAATATAAACAGGTAGCTCACCAACAACCTCAGTAGACCCGACCTTCTTCTTTCCTTGACTTTCCCATTGATTGACCTAACTGTCACAACTGGATACAGTAATGTCATTATGAAATGTCTCTTGACAGACAGCACCAAACAGCAAGGTTTTTTCCAAGGTTAATTCCAGCACACACCGCTCCTGTTAGAGAGCATGCTTGCTACTCAGGTTCATTTTCCTCCTGCTTCTCTCCTGGCCCAGCATCTCTTTCCCACTCTCCCACTCCCTGACACGCAGGGTGTGCCTTAAGCAAATTCAACGGCACTCTTAACCTTGCCTCCTGCCATAGCTCAACTGGAACTCACGGCTCCCTCTCAGCCAGCAGTTTCCAATCTCATCAGACCCGATATCCTCTCTATATAACAAACACTTTATAAGGATGCTGTACTAGAATGAAGTGAAATTTATAGATCATAGGGTCTGTGTGCACACATAATTTCAAATATTTATACATAGAATTTCAAGTATACATCTATACATCAATGAAATGTAAAAGAGAAACAAAAAAATAATTTATAATAAAATGATGTATTTAAAAGCATAAATAGTCAGGCGCTGGAAATCATAATAAAGAGGGGTGCTCCCATCTGTACAGAGAACCAGCATGAACACAACCACTCCAAATTCAGACTGTTTGAGAGTGTTGCATTAGTGACTTAAATAGTGCAAGAAGCACTGCCATTAACTAAGTAATTTTTCAAAATGGTAAACAAATTTTAGTGAAGTTTTAAATAAAATAAAATACAATTTTCCTTTGATTTACACTGCAGTTGTACCCCTAGAAAATTTGGTATATATTAGATGTGTGCAGAGTACATTTTGGATTTATAATAGTTGGCTAGGAGCCTAAGGCAAATATAAACAGGTTTTCACTTGAATGACTCCTCAGTAGGACATTCAAAAGGCTTATGGGACATAAAACAGTTGTTCACTGTATCCAGGCAGGGGCTGAGAAACTTTGTAAAGGGCCAGACAGTACATAGCTTAGGTTTCTGTGGACCATGCGCTCTGTCGCAACCACCTGATTCTAAGAAAGCAGCCACTGACAATACATAAATGAATAGGTTTCAAAGAAAAGTTTATTTTTAAAAACTGGCTGAGGGGCTCAGATTGTGGTTTCCCTACTTCCGTATTAGAGCGTCCTGCATATTGCTGAAGGTCCAGCTCCTACACACTAAATGCCAGTTGCACCATCCAATTATTGTGACGGTATCTTCCTTGGAGCAAGAGCCATCCCATCCTCCCATACCCAGCAAACGAGAACTCCTGACTATTCGCTGTACCTGAGCTTTCTGGTCTCAGCTCCTTCTACACCTCTCTGCAATGCAACGTTTTCTCAACCTACCCTTCACTGCTTATCTCTGTTTTGCTTAATTCAAGACCCAGCTGACACCTTACCTCTCCTGACTAATGGAGGAATTTCTTTAAAACTTACATTTTTTAGAAATGATTTGGCATTGAAATGTCCCCTAATACTATTTCTCAAATTATTTTCTATATGTTGTGTCTCCCACCTGGAAGGCAGGTTCCTTGAGGGCAGAATCTCTGTCTAACACTGGGTCATATGTACATAGGCTGTAGCTGAATGATTTTGCTTAAGTCACACAATAAATATTATGATTGTCATGCTAGATGTTGGGAATATAGCAGTGAATGATCAGACAAGGTCCCTGATCTCACTGAGATTATATACTAGTAGAGAGGAGTGAAAGTAATTATCTTCAGATGCCAATAAGAACTATAAAGAAAATAAGGTGGTGACATGGTGAGTAAAAAAAGAGTAAGATGATGGTCAGCTGATATTTTAGATGCAACAATCAAAGGAAATCTGTGTGAAAAGAAAACAGTTGACACCTGGCCAATGAGAAGAGCTGGAGGAGAGCATTCCAACCTTGAGGAAGAGCATGCGTACAATCCCTGACGCAGGAAATCCTGCAGCATGTTTGGGGAAAAACAGGTCATATAATGCTTGAAACTGAGGCTTTCAAGGAAGAAGTGATATAACATGATTTTGGTTTTTAAAAACATTGCATTGACTGCAGAGTAGAGAAGGGACAATAGGAAGGAAAAGGTGACACGGAGAGCACAATCAGAAGCTAGTACAGAAGTCCAAGCAGGAACTGAGCATCTGCGGAACTGGAGGGGGCAGCGGAGACAGACAGAGTAGGCAGACTTGAGCTGTGCCTTAGTGACGTGACGCACAGGACTCCTTCATGGGCCAGACCTGTGGGGGCGGGGGGGACACGGGGTGCTGCTATGACTCGTATTGGACAAAAGTGATGTGAGTGATAGTAGGCAGAGGGACCATGAGTTCCGTTTGAATGTGTTAAGTATGAGATAACTGTTACACATTGATTGATTTTTCAAAGTTGAACCAGCTTTGAATTCCTGGAATAAACCTCATTGGGTAGGGAAATATTATCCTTTTTATGCATTACTGGATTCAAGAGGAAAGGCCAGGTAATGGATGTATGAGAATGTAGACAAAGACAAGGTCTTAGCTAAAGAGAGGCATGTATAGGTCATCAGTGTATAGTTGCTATTTAAACTCATGAAATAATAAAATCATATTGAAAATGGTGCTGATTAGAGAAAAGAAGGCCCCTTCCCTGTCCCAAAATTCCCTAATATTTAGAAAAGAAACCAGCACAAGAAAAAGAGAAAAAGCTGCCTATATGGAAAATCTGGTATCACAGAGGATGATGATTCAACCATTTATGAACTGCTAGAAACTTTGCTAAATTAAGGAGAAGCATCTCTTTGATCTGGTAATACAGAGGCCACTGATTCACTTTAGAATATCCTCAACTAAATAGGAATTACAGAAACTGAAGTGGTATGAAAAAGAGAATGAAAGGTAAAAAAGTGAAAACAGACTTTCAAAAATAATGTAACTCATAAAAATAATTGTGGAAAACAATCAGACCAGTAATAGGCTACATTTAGTTTATCTATGCCTTAGTAACACTACTGCAGTAAATCACTGATATTTATACCTCACTGTAGATCAGCAGAACAAGTGGCTATGTTCCTTCGGTGCAAAAAAAAAAACCCTGAAGTTTTATGTCAAGATAATTGGTACTGTTAAAGATGTAATAGAGGGAAAGCTCCTAGTGCTAAAAGTTCTAAAACTAAGCTTCAAAGTTCCTGCTAATAAAAGAATATATGTTATTATCTTGGAGTAGAGCTACTATGCAGGAAGCAATAAAGCAAAATCTAGAACAATTGTACTTAATAAAAATTTAAAAACATATATGTAACAACAACATTGTAAAAGGAATTTTTAGAAAAATGTCAGAATAGAAGAAACTATGACATAAATGATCCTAATATAGAAAGAGTATCTCTAAATCAACAAGAAAAATCCATATAAAATATAGTGAAGGATAAAACGAAGAAATCAAGAAAGAATAAAATGAATAATAAGATAGTATGATCCATTTTTAAGGACTTTCCTTGAAAGTCATGCATGTAGAGTAATGCTAGATTAATATGCGCTTTAGGAGTTCTACAAGTAAAATCAGACAAATGAAGTTCCTCAGAGAGTGATCATGTCATCAGTAACACACAGCAGTCTGTGTCTTTTTCACACCTGAGTATGCAGCAGGGTGGTCTTACTTTATTTAGCATGACTTGATACGATTGTAACAGGTACTGATCCTTAAATTCCAGTGTACACATTCCAATAAGAGACAGAACCATATAATTTAGAAACTCAGCATATTCAGAGGTGCAATGGTATTTAAATCGTGATGGTCAACACACAAATAACAGAGAAGAGAAAATGCCTACCTTCCCTGATCGCTGTAAAAGGTGTACCTTCTTCTTCCTGCAGCCTGATCACTTTCAGGGCCACCAACTTCCCGTTAACCCTGGAAGAAACAAAAGAGAAAGTGAGAAGCAAATCCATGAAAATCTGTTCCTGTTACGGTTCTAATTTTCTTCATTACAATTTATATTTTTGCACTGCAAATGTCAGTGACTCAATTATGCCGCCACGAAAGATTAACTTCAGTAAGTCTGGGAATTCTGCATCATCCCCATAAATATTCACACTTTAAATACTCACATTTTAAATACTCCCTTGCATAGTCCAAAATTTAACTGAAGTTTTTCTGTGATTCACTCAATGTTCCTTCCAGAATGAAACCAGTACTTAACAAAATCACCATGCTCTGTCAGTTACTCTTAGATTAATTAAAAATCAAGTAGTCAAAATAATGTTGTTTCTCCAACAGCACTTTTGTTTCTTTGGTTGAAATGTCTTCATCTTAAATCCTAAACTGAGATCATTCAACCCCCAAAGACAGAAACCTGGCACTCAGCCTTCCCCTCTTCCATCTTCTCTTCCTTCCTCCCTCCCTCTCTCTCCCCTCTTTCCTCCCTCTCTTTCCTCCCTTTTTCACAATTATTTTCTTAATAGGGCATCCTGAAATTATATTTGGTCTGACTGTGTTTTATAATACAGTGTATCATCAAAATAAAAGTTATGAATAGTTCACTGTTGCAAGGTTACACAAGACCTATCCAAAGCAGATGGCTCTTCCAGATGCATCCTGTGTGTGTATCAGCTCCAATTAAAAGTAAGAATGCGCTAGGCAGACAGCTTTCTATCCAGTCAATTCCATTAACAAAGACATGTCTACCTATATGAGTCCTCTAGGTGAATGCTCTACTTTCTACCTTTAAGGGGCCTAGAAGAATCTCTTGTTAATTAAATTAGGTAAAACATGCACACATTAAAAGTTCTATAAAAGATACAAGAAGGCATTTGATGCGAAGTTTATCTCCCTGCCACACCCTCTCTCAGCCACCCAGCTCCCATCCTCTAGGCCACCAGTTGCCATTGTTCATAAACACACACACACACACACACACACACACACACACACACACACACTGAGGGGTGGGCAAAAGTAGGTTTACAGTTGTTCCTATGGAAAATAATACAATAATAAATAATACAAGAATAAACTCTGTTTTGCATACTTACAACTAAAAACCTACTTTTGGCCACCCATATACATATACACACACAAAAAAACACACATACACATAGAATACATACACACACATATATAAATGGTAGCATGCCATACAGAATACACTGCATATAGTTTTTATCATTTAATACATATTTTGGCAACTTCCTCCTAAATTCATAGGCACATTCCCAATTTTTTGTTACTAAAACAATGAAGCAATAAATATTCCTGGACATGTAATTTCATCTATGTAAAAATACATCTGTAAATTCCTAAAAGTGAAATTGCAAGATCAAAATGTATGTGCATTTTTAAATTCTAATTCTGATGAATACTGGAAAATGATCCTGCGCAGCCTGTACCAATTTACGCTTCCTACGGCAAACGACAAGCACCTCCGTTCCCCCTTCACCTGCACTATGCCAATTTGATAGATGAGAAATGGTTTTTCATTGCTATTTAAATTGCAACCAAAGTGAGGTCATGAAACTAGCAGAGGAAAACTGAGTCTGAAATAAAGAATTTGAACGTCTCTTTTTTAAGAACTGAATCCACATGGTCTGTTTTTGCTCAAAAAACGGCCGCAGACACGAAACTCGCAAGGCCAAGGAATGTATCACAGCCCAGCCATCCGAGCGGCATTCCTCATTAAACTGATTGCTGAAATGCATTACTGGTTACAGTAATCAAATAAGGATATCTGATTATAAGGCTCCACAATGTGCCGTCTACAATGTGTTTATTTTTCCTTGTGTTTCAGCTGGAAGGTCAGACCAGCTGCTTTTCTGCCCTGCAGTTCTCCACTCTGAATACATTACTTCAACATTCTAATCCTGATAGGTGCCCAGGTGCAGGCAGAACATTACTATGCACATGAGGTTCCACTGGAGACTGTACCTGTGCTCCTCACTTCGTCCTTTAGGACTAAGGAGACCTTCGGTGGGGCCTGAGGCTGGGATGCAGTCAGTGTTGACATCTGCACCGGTTTTTCTTAGCCTAGTTGAGCTCATCACTCGCTCCCTGAGGAAGCAGTAACTGATTCCAGGAACTGCTTGGAATTTTCCCCTCATTTACTGATATTTTCCCCTCACCCATAAACACGCACGCACACACATAACCTTCTCCCCACAAAGCTTTCCCTCTTCCCTTGAGACCCTTAACTTATATGCAGCATGAACTGAATCCCGGGATACAAGGAAGTCATGTTTTTGAAGGTTATATACTTAAAGCACACTCCAGACCATGAAGCTATGATGGTCCTGGAACATACCGAAAGGAGATAAACCTTCCCAAAACTCACTTTTTACACACAACTAGAAATGGAACACCTTCAAGTAATCTCATAGACTAAAGGGCGTTATTTTTGTTGTGGAAAAAAATTTGGAACATACTTACCATGATAATTGTAAAAGAACAAGATGCAGGCCAATGGGATTCTGATTCTGAGGCGTAATTCTCCATGAATTAAACCTTCAAGTATTAATTTCTTGGTTACAATAATCATAACAGTTAGAGACACTGAGACTTTGCTTACATCATAGGAAACTAACATTTCCTTAGGATTTATACTAGACTATTAGCTCCAGGGGCAAAGGAAGTTTTCCTGTTTTGTTAACTGTTATGTGCCCAGTGCCTAAAACTGCCTGGTATAGAGTAGACTCTCAAAACATTTTATTGAAAGAATATTAATAATAACATACTGAAATCTCCTTCCTTATATCTGCAAGATAACTCAAGAATGAAGAATATCGCTCAACATCACTAATCATCAGGGAAATACAAATCAAAACCACATGACATATCACCTCATACCTGAGAGAATGGCTGTTACTAAGGAGACAAGAGACAAAGGGTGCTAGGGAGGACATGGTGAAAAAGGAACCTTTAGACATTGTTAGTGGGAAAATTGGTCCAACCACTATGGAAAACAATATGGAAGTTCCTCAAAAAATTCAAAATAGATCTATGATATGATTTAGCAATCTTCACTTCAGGGTACATTTCCAAAGGAAATGAAAGGATTTTGAAAAGATATATGCACTCTCACATTTCTTATAGCATTACTCACAGTAGCCAAGATATAGAAACAACCCAAATACCCATCAACAAATGAATGGATAAAAAAAGAAGTGGCACACATACGCATAGGATATTATTCAGCCGTGAGAAAGGAAGATACCCTCCTGTACGCAAAAACACGGATGGACCTTGAACATAATACGCTAAGTGAGATAAGTCAGAGAAACACAAGCACTGTATAATTTCACTTATGTAAAATCTAAAAAATTTAAACATATTTAAAAAAAGAAAGTAAAATGGTAGTGAGCAGGATATGGGGGGGGAGGGGTGGTGACAGAGAACAGGGATGGTTTTTATGGGCACACACTTGTAATGAGTAGTATACAAGCCATAGAGGTCTATTGCACAGTATAGTGAACATAGACAATGACATTGTACTGTAAATATATAATGTAATAAATATCACTACATCAGCAATCATATTGCAATAGATAAATGTATCAGAGTAACATGTTCTACATCCTAAAATTGTGCAAAGTTACATGTCAAATTTCTTCAATTAAAAAAATCATTGCTTTCAAAAATTTCAGAAATCTCGAATATTTATGAAGCGTTCACATCTTTCATGTTTGGTTTAAATGCTCATTTTATTTTTTCAAATTAAAGACACAGTTTCTCTGTTTTTGATGCATGCAGGTATGGAAATTTTTCATTTCCTTAAAGTTTTATTATTTAGAATGCCTTGTTAATTATCTTTTTGCATCTAACAGACTTGTTTCAAAATTCTCACTATCATTTAACTGTATAAGCCCAGATCACTGTATCTTCCCTTTTCTCTTAACTACTTCAATGGTTTCCCATTAAGAATCATATTGATTATCGAGTTGCTCTTTAACCTAAAAGTCACTGTGACTTTCTCTTTTCTTAATCGGTTTTCTCTACATGTCTAGACACTCACCAACTACTGAATCACTCAGCTCTAAAATCACTGGCTCCACTTTTGGAAAAGATACCTTTGAAAAAACATTACGAATTTTCTAACATTCACTCTTTGGTGCGTATATTTTTTAAAACTTTAGTATAGGCTGAAATAATTGAAATTCTAAGTTACTACTCTAACAAAATGTCAGTTCTTGAAGATATCTAAGGGTGACAGCTGTCATTCTGTGAAAAACAAACTAAACATTGTATCTAATAATTACCTGTGGGTTTAAACTATTTTATTAACGATTCAAAACATATGCTTCAAACACTGATTTAAGTCTTTAGAATAATTACAAAATTCAAATTGAATCAATAAATTAGAGCTGTTTACAGGAAAACATTGTCAACTCCTCTTTAACAAATCTTATTAATTAAATCAAAAGCTAATGAACAGAAGGCAATCAAGACTTGATTGGCAATGGATACATAAATCAGGTAAATAACGTGGTTAAAAATAAACTCTTTAAATTGTGCTAATATTACCACAGAATATTCTGTTGGAGATAATTGTCAGGTTAGTGTCTGGTTGCTCTAAACTATATAGGGGGCCATTTTAATTTCAAAGATCCTTCTCTATTCTCTAGTTGCTCCAACAACTACCATTCCCAGTCTGGTCTCACTGTGAAGCTCATTTCAGTCCCAAGGATGAGTGACTCACTGTTCTAGTCTGCCCATCAAATCGGACAAGCTGTCGAGTGCAGCAGGAGGCAGAGCTGGGGGAACGCCCACGCCTGCATGGAGCTATCCACGCACAAAGGCACGGGGACATTGGGTGGCCCAGCAGAGCCATGCTGGAGTGGAGCCAGCTTTCTAATCACAAACGCAGATTCCTGCCAACTTCAGATCTCTAGCCACAGGTCTATGTGCCCTAAGTCTGTAAATAA